TTATAATTTCTGTTTTTATTGATATTTTTGATTTGATGAGATATTGTCATCATGTTTTTCTTAAGTATGGTTTCGTTTAGTTATTTAACATGTTTAAAATGGCTGCTGTGGCCCTGGCTGGTTTGGCTCAGTGGTTGGAGTGTCAGCCTGCGGACCAGAGAGTCCCAGGTTCGGTTCCCACTAGGGGCACGTACCAAAAAAGGAAAAAAAATGGTTGCTTTGAAGTCTTTGCTAATTTTGACAGTTGAGTTCTCTCAAGGGCAGTTTTTGTTGCCTCCTTTTTTTTTTTTTTTTTTTTTTTATCCTCACCCGAGGAGATTTTCCCATTTTTTTGTTCAGGTAGAGTGGGAGGGGGAGAGAGGAACAGAGAGAGAGAGAGAGAGAGAAACATCGATGTGAAAGGAACACATCGAGTGGCTGCCACCGCACGACCGACCAGGGCCGGGGACAAACTGCAACCGAGGTACATGCCCTTAGCGGGAACCAAACCCGGGTCTCTCAGGACCGCAGGTCGACGCTCTAACCGCTGAGCCAAACCGGCCAGGGCTGTTGCCTCCTTTTCATCCTGTGTATGAACTCTTTATTTATTTGCATATATTATAACTTTTTGTTGGAAACTGGACATTTTATTTAATATTTTTGTAGCATTTCTGGGTACTGATCCCCGTAGTTCTCCACCCCTTGGCTTGTTGGTTTTGGCATGTTTATTTGTTTAGTCTTGGCTGGACTATTTCACTGAAATGTGTTTGATCCATAGTATGAAGCCTCTGGTGTCATTCCTCAAAGGGCACATATGGCCTTAGGCATGTGTACAGTTACCATGGAGTGACAGTGTTTTTAGGAGGTCTCTCTATTTCTCTGATCCGATGCTGTCTACCACTGTTGGTATCACACCCTGATGGTAGTCTCCACTAATTGCCTGCTGATTCCTCTGTTGTTTTTGACAATAAATTGTAGGGGCATAAATTATTTTACAGTCTTATTTAATTTCTGGCCCTTTTTTCCCAGCTGGTATAGCTTAGTGAATTGAGCGTCATCCCATGGACTCAGAGGTCCTGGTTTGATTCTGGTTAGGGCGCATGCCCGGGTTGCCAGCTCAATCCCCAGTAGGGAACGTGCAGGAGGCAACCAATTGATGTGTCTCTCTCACATTGATGTTTCTATCTCTCTCTCCTTTCCTCTCTAAAATCAATAAGAACATATTTTAAAAAGCCCTGGCCAGTTTGGCTCAGGGGTTAGAGTGTCAGCTCGCGGACCAGTGAGTCGCGGGTTAGATTCTGGTCAGGGGCACGCGCCTTAGTTTCGATTCGTTCCTGGCCCTGGTTGGGGTCATGTGGGAGGCAGCCACTCGATGTGTCCCTTTCACATCGATTTTTCTTTCTCTCTCTTCCTCTCCCTCCCACTCTGTCTAAACAAAAATAAAAAAATGTTCTCTGTTGAGGATTTAAAAAAAAACAAACATATTTAAAAAAAATTCTGGCCCTTTTAGAGACGTGGTCTCTGAAGCCAGTCTTCTTTGAGCCTTGTTCTGACCATAGGAGGGCTCTTCTTTGCCGTCTCTTTCCTTAGTTCTCTCTGTTGAACTTCTAGATGGTCTATTTGTTAGCTTGTTACTCTCATGGAGGTACCAGCCTCCTCTTGTTTGCTTTCCATCACAGTCTTCATTGTTTTGGACAGTGCCCTTAGGCTGAACTTCCTTATATTTGTTTCATATAAAGTCAGTTTCTTTAGGGAAGTTTCAGAATTTTTTGTTCTCTACCTCCTTCAACCCCCAGGGAAATTCTGTGCACCATCACTCTAGAGCTGGACATGAGGACAGTGGGCCATTTCTCTTAATGCCCTTGCTGTGAGCTGGATGCTGGGTAGGGGTGGAGGCCTCAGGCTGCCTTGGTGTGTGTCTTCTGGCATGACACCTCTGCCCTGAGTGACAGGTGAACGGGGCGAGGGCAATAAGGGCCCTAGTGTTTGATCTCCTAGGTTAGAACTTCCACTGCATGAGAAGGGGCTGGATGGAGACACAATTCTTACTGAGATGTAGTAGATACTCAGTACATTTTTTCATTTTCCATATGCTCTCAGGACAGTTTCCAGAGACTGGAAATCGTTTATTTTTATTTTTTTAATAACCTTCACTATTTATGGTTGTTTCACAGGGGATCAAGTCTGTGGTGCTCCTTACACTTTACAGCACTCTTCTGGAAGTCATTCTTCTTTTATGTGCCTTTTACCAAAAGTCATTAGAAGTTGGGACACATTATTTTTAATGTTCCTTTTGTGTTTAATGTTTTTTTTTAATGTTTTTATTGATTTTAAAGAGAGGAAGGGAGAGGGAGAGAGATTGAAATGTCGATGAGAGAGAAACATTGATTGGTTGCCTCTTGCACACCCCCTAACTGGCAATTGAGCCTGCCACTTGGGCATGTGCCCTGACCAGGAATCAAAGTGGTGACCTCTTGGTGCATGGGATGATACTCAGTCTATTAACCCACACTGGTTGGGCTGGAACAATTTTTGAAAACAGCTTGCCTGAATGAGTTTATTGTGTAGAATGACTATTTTTAATTTGTCTTTAGAAATAAGTTTAAGTTTCATAGAGCTTATAAGTTCTACATGGATATGTGTTAAGTTCATGTTTGTGTATGTGGAACCAGATATTTTTTTCTTAATTTTAGGCATGCCCTGGCCTGTGTTGGCTCGGTTGGTTGAGCATTGTTCCATGCACCAAAAGGTCACTGGTTTGATCCCCAGTCGGAGTGCATGCTGTGGAGGCAACCAATCGATGTTTCTCTCTTTCTCTCCCCCACTCCCTCTCCCTAAAATCAATAAAAATATATTTTTAAAAATTTAGGCATAATATACATCATTGATAACTTTTATTCCCTTTTTCCTTTCTCTCATATGAACTTTATCATCATCATTTGAAATTATAATTTTTTTCTAATGAAGTTTGTTTCTGAAAATAAAAACTAATGATAGTAGTAAAAACTTAAGCCTTTAGGGGAAAACAGTAAGATCATTGGCTCTTAAAATATATCCATAACCACTTTTAAATACTTTTTTGTTAATCCTCACCCAAGAATATTTTGTCCATTGATTTTTAGCGGGGGGGGGGGGGGGGGGGCGGAGGCGGCGGTGAGAGAGACACATTGATTGGATCGAACCTGTGACCCTTTGGTCCTCAAGCCAGTGCTCTAACTACTGAGACACACAAGCCAGGGTTTTAAATACTTTTATACCGCCCTGGCTGGTTTGGCTCAGCGGTTAGAACGTCGGCCTGTGGTCCAGAGAGACCTGGGTTTGGTTTCCGCTAACGGCACGTACCTCGGTTGCAGTTTGTCCCCAGACCTGATTGGGTCGTGCGGGTGGCAGCCACTCGATGTGTCCCTTTCATGTCGATGTTTCTCCCTCCCTCCCTCCCTCCCACTCTATCTGAACAAAAAATGGAAAAATGTCCTTGGGTGAGGATAAATAAATAAATACTTTTATACCTACTAAAATAAAATTATAAAGATATTACATTTAGTAATGAGAATATCTTTGTCATTTTTTTTTAATTCTTACCTGAGGATATTTTTCTGTTTATCTTCAGATAGAGTGGGAGGGGGAGAGAGGGAGAGAAAGGGAGAAATAGAGAAACATCGACATGAGAGGGACACATTGACTGGTTGCCTCCCACATGACCCTGACCAGGGCCGGGGACGAACCGCAATGGAGGTATGTGCCCTTGACCGGAATCGAACCCGCAACTCATTGGTCTGTGGGCTGACGCTCTACTGCTGAGCCAAACCAGGCAGGGCTCTTTGTCATTTTTTAAAAATGTGTTTTTATTGATTTTATTTTAGAGAGAGAGGAAGGGAGAGAGAAATAGAAACATTGATGTGAGAGAGACACATTGATTGGCTGCCTCCTACTGCAATCCGGGCATGTGCCCTGACCAGAAATTGAACCGGAACCTCTCATTCCATGGGTTGGGTTCTTTGTCTTTTGTATATCTTATGTAACAATAGGTACTTATTGTTACACTTATTATTCCCTTGCTCCCTAGAAGGTTTTTAGGAACCCACTTTTCTTCTGTTAATTAGATGCTTTAAGTTTGTTATGCTCTGTTGCAGATAAAATGGACAGTGAGAGGCAATTGTTTTCTATATCTGATTCAGTCCTTTAAATTTATGATTTATGTTAACTCCCGCCTCTATTCTGTGGTCTCAGAAATAGAATGTTTTTCAGATGCTTGAGTGTGAAAATGCTTTGGAGAACTTTCCTTGATTTTGCCTAGTTTGGTGGATGGCATATTTTCACCTCCCCTTCATTTAGCCCAAGTCCAGCCCATCAGGCCCCTTTGACACCTGTCCCACTTCCCTTTCTTCCTGGCAGTTGTGAGGGTGCGATTCTAATGCATAAATGTACTTTGACTCAATTTTCAACATCCTTCTGTAGCTCTGTTGCTATGGAGACTCCTGATCTCCCTTCAGCTTTACCTTAAATATTCATTCCCTATTTTGGTTTCCACTTTTTCAGATTATCCCTAACAGGTAGGCTGCATTTAGTTACTTTTTTTTTTTATAATCCTCACCTGAGAATATGTTGTTTTGTTTGTTTGTTTTTAGAGAGAGGGGGGAAGGGAGCAAGAAAGAGAGAGAGAAAGAGACATCAATCAGTTGCCTCCTTGCATGCACCCTGACTATGGATTGAACCTGCAACCTTTTGGTGTACATGATGATGCTCCAATCAACTGAGCTACCTGGCCAGGGCCTGTTCATGTATTTTAAAAGTATACAGAAGTAGTTCGGAGTACTCGGCTTTGGTGTGAAGAAGACTTACAGCCATGAAGAGATACTATGAAATATTTTTAATGGATATCTGTATTGAATGCTTATTGTAAAGAAAACAAACCAAGTATAAAAGTAGAGAAACCCGAGTATAAAAGAAACGGGATCTCCCTGTCACCCACCCCAAGTACAAACACCAGGAAAGTAATGTAGCTCTGTACCTCTTCGCAGCAGTGCCTGCGGGAGCCTGGGGCCCAGTGCTGGCCCCGCCTGCCGGAGCCGCTGTGAGCACCAGGGCTGTCCTGTTCACCGTGGGCTCTCCTCCGCACAGCGCCGCGGCCCCCACCTGCACGCACATGGTCCTTCGAGCACGGACAGCCTCAGGTGAGAGATCTTCCTGCGATCTTTGGCCAGAGTTTGGAGTATTAGTGTTCTGATGATGACTTAATGGCGTAACTTAGTTAAGTCACTAAACCTCTCTGGAAGTCAGTTTCTTTTTCCAATGACATGGAAATAACTATTTTCTTTACCTTCAAGAATTATAAGGAATAAATGAGGCAGTATTTGTGAGTAAAAAAAACTCTATGAAGTAAAAGTACTATATTATATGTTAATAATAATATACAGTATTATGCATATATGGTGCTTTCTTGCTTATACTAAAGGATTATTTTAGTATATCCAGTAAAGTTTTTGAAAATGATAAGCTGTTGTTTATTTTTGTTTTATTTATGAACCTTTTACCTTTTTGTTTGTACTTTGGCTCTCAGTTTTTGCACTTAATCTTATATACATTTGGACAGGCTAATAGATTGGTTTTATCATTCATACGTTATAAATATGTTATTAATATCAAAACTTAAAGTGTTTAGATTGGACTAGAAATGACATCATTTGACATGACTTCATATATTGCACTTTGTGTCCTTGAAGTTCTTTTATGCTAAATAAGTTACTAATCAAGAGTCAGATTAGTGAAGCAAAGGATGTTAATACATAACAAAAGAGCAAGTAGAGCCAATCTTGTTTTTAAGATTTTTAAAGTATTAAATAATACTTTCAAAGTAATACTTTAAAAATAATTATTTAGAAGTAATAAGAATGTCTGGCTGGTGTGGCTCAGTGGTTAAGTGTCATCCCATGCACCAAGAGGTTGCTGGTTCGATTCCCGGTGAGGACACATACCCAGGTTGTGGACCCAATCCCCAGTGGGGGCCATGCAGGAGGCGGCCAATCATTATTTTCTCATTGATGTTTCTATCTCTTTCTCCTCTCTTCCTCTCTAAAATCAATAAAGGAAAAATTTTTTAAAAAAGTAATAAGAAAATATCATTTTAAGAAAGTAACATTTTAGCCCTGGCTGGTTTGGCTCAATGGTTAGAGCATTGGCCTGTGGTCCAGAGAGACCCGGGTTCGGTTCCTGCTAAGGGCATGTACCTCAGTTGCAGTTTGTCCCCAGCCCTGGTTTGGTCATGCAGGTGGCAGCCACTCGATGTGACCCTTTCACATCGATGTTTTTCTCTCTCTCTCTTCTTCTCTCTCCCTCCCACTCTATCTGAACAAAATGGAAAAATTTCCTCGGGTGAGGATTAAAAAAAAAAGTAAAAAAAAAAAAAAAAAGAAAGTAACATTTTATACCTATTAACTAAACCAGTATGTAAAACAGTAGAATGCCCAGTGTTGTTGAGGTGAGTGAGATCTGTGTGCTTACTCACAGCTGCTTTAGATAGTAGTAGCAATTCTTACAAAGGGCTGTTAAAATGTTTATAATATTTGCTTTATGGTAATCCCATTTCTGTTTATAATACCACTTTGGAGTATTTATCACAAATAAATTATTCGGAAAAAGGAAAAAATTTAGATTTTATTACATCATTATTTGTGATACTAACAGTCAGAAATAGGCCCAGCCGGTGTAGCTTAGTGGATTGAGCATCATCCCATGGACTGAGAGGTCCCAGTTTGATTCCCAGTCAGGGTACATGCCTGGGTTGTGGGCTCAATTCCCAGTAGAGGGTGTGCAGGAGGCAGCTGATTGGTGTGTCTCTATCACATCAGTGTTTCTATCTCTCCCTTCTTCTTTCTCTTAAAAATAAAACTTTTTTTTTTTTTTTTTATCCTCACCCGAGGACATTTTTTCCATTTTTTGTACAGACAGAGTGGGAGGGAGAGAGAGGAAGAGAGAGAGAGAGAAACATCGATGTGAAAGGGATACATCGAGTGGCTGCCACCCGCACGACCAACCAGGGCCGGGGACAAACTGCAACCAAGGTACATGCCCTTAGCGGGAACCGAACCCGGGCCTCTCCAGACCGCAGGCGGGCGCTCTAACCGCTGAGCCAAACCGGCCAGGGCAAAAAATAAAACATTTTTAAAAAATAAAAACATTTTTAAAAAGTCAGAAAGAGTATAAATGCTTTCAGATGAGCATTATGTATATAAATGTAATTAACCACCATTGTATCTACTGAGGTTTATAATTATGAACACTACGGAAAAACAGGAAGAAATATATACTATGAATTTGTTTAAAACTATTTTAAAAGTGGCTATGATGCAGTCTCTAAAATATATATATATATAGACAAGGAATAAAGGTGAACATGGCAAAATGAAACCTATTCATATGTTCCAATAGGGGATCAGAGGCTGTTCGTTAACTATTTCCTGTGTTCCTTTTATAGTAGGAGTGGGCATGGAGGCCTTGGACTCTGTGCACTCACTCTGGGCGCTGGGCCACGTGTCCTGTTTCCTTGCAGTGGGCTCCAGCAGCTCTGGAGGCTCCCTGTGTTCCGCGAGTGGCCGAGTGTGTATGGGCTCCCCACCTGGGCCGTGCTGGGGATCTTCCCCTCCAGGAGCAGAAGCAGCTCCTAGCCTGAGATACATGCCTTATGGTGCTTCACCCCCCAGCCTGGAGGGCCTCATCACCTTCGAAGCCCCTGAACTTCCGGAGGAGACACTGATGGAGGTAGAGAAGAGATCATTATGATATACCATAGTAATGTTGATGCCATAGGAAAATGTTCTAGTGATGATGCAAGCGCAGAAGACTATCAGAAGTTCTTCTCTTCTCTTTAACTTACCTTTTTATTCTGTGGGAAAACCATGGCTGATGTATTATCAGAATGATGCTGACCATGCCTCTCATCCATAATGAGCTTTGGCTGGTAGAAAGTGACTCACACAGACTTTGTGTTCTTAATTGTTTAACCTGAAGTTCATTTATAGAACTTCTGAGCTATATTCTCTCTAAAGCCAAACCTTTTTATTCTCCAAACTTCTTTTTCTTTGTCAGGTAAAAATAATATACTTAAACTCAGGTTTAAAAAGAAAATAAACCATGATGTCAGATTAGTCACAAACATTGGAAAATAAGCCTGCCAAGCGGACTGGATGTTTACTCTCACCCTGCACCCAGTTCTGAGGGAAAACACTTCACAACCTGTAGCTTGCTGAGCACAGGTCCAGAACAAGAGAAGTCCATTTTATGATTCTGAAGACTGCCTCCACAGTCTTGACTCCAGGACAGCATTCAGGGGACGGCATTGTGTCTTTGGTCCCTGAATATAGTGCTAACTTAGTCTGCATTTCAAATTAAAATGATTAGTTCTCTGGACCAACTAAATAAAACATTTTCTCTCTATGCCAGAGATAGACATTTCTATTTTGTGTGAATAAGAATTAAATATTTCACATAAAAGTTATACTTCATACAAAACTTTCATGGTGATTCTGTGGTAAGATTAGTGGTGATTTTAAAAATGTGTAATACAATCTAAGACTGGAAAAGCAATCTTCTGAATTTTTTTCAGTGTCCATCAGATTTGACATGAATTATGCCCAGTGTGTGTGGAATGTCCCTGATGTACGTCAGTGTACTGGAACACGGTCCAGTGTGCTGTCGTAGAACAGACTCTCACAAGTCAATTGTTAATCCTCTTCTCTAGGAAAATAATTCTGATTATTTTTTAACCATAAAAGGAAAGTGATAAACTTAGTCTTATTTGAGATTTCAAAATATACTTATAGCTAAAAATAAATCTCAAACGATACTGATTTTAGAATACCCTTTTTTAATGCATGCTATTGTGTCTGTCTGCTCCTCCCTCTCTAACTGAAAAGATTACAGAAATTAACAGCTTTGGTGTTAGGAATCACTGTTAACTGATAAACCACCAGAAATTAAAATAAATTATAAGTTTTAATTAAAAGTCAGTAGAAGTCATTAAACCATCAAGAAGTATGGTTTAGCTCTGGCCGGTTTGGCTCAGCAGTTAGAGCGTCGGCCCAGGGACCAGAGAGGCCCAGGTTCGGTTCCCACTAAGGGCATGTACCTCGGCTGCAGTTTGTCCGCAGCCCTGGTTGGGTTCGTGTGGGTGGCAACCACTCGATGTGTCTCTGTCACATTGCTGTTTCTTTCTCTCTCTCCCTCCTTCTCTCCTTCCCACTTTATATCTCAAGATAAAATAATGCAAAATTGTCCTCAGGTTAGGATTAAAAAAAAAGAAGAAGTATGGTTTACTGTGCAGAATGTATTTATAATCTTGTTATCTCTTTTATCATGTTTTTGTTTTGTGTTTAGTGCTTTTTTCATTCAATGTCTCCCTCCCCTCCTGGTAAAAGCATGGTGACCTCATATCTTTGAAGCTTAATTTTGTGAGTGCTCTCATATAAAAACAAATATGTGCTCACAGCCACATTTAGTTTTATTTGTGTTTATTTTCTCACTAGTTTCTGGAATTTAAAATTTTCCATCTCTTTTGATCATTCTGATATTCATAAGTATAGAAAAATATTAGCAGTGCCGTGGGTTATATACAGAGATGAGGATCCACCTCTTCTTAACCCAAAACAAATTGGCTTTGCTGCAGCGAGAACACACAGACACCTTACGCCACCTGAACGTGATGCTGATGTTCACTGAGTGTGTGCTGGACCTGACAGCGGTGAGGGCGGGGAGTCCTGAGCTGTGCACGTCCGCCGTCTCCTTGTACCAGATTCAGGAGAGTGTGGTTGTGGACCAGATCAGCCAGCTGAGCAAAGACTGGGGGTAGGTGCCTCTTTGCCATTTATTTCCAGGTTCTTTATGCTTTCTGTGAAGTTGTGTCTGAGATGGAGGCCTTGTTATCCACTGACAGACCATATCTCGTTATTAAAGTCTACCAGGAAGTCCCTAAGTTATTGCATCGTGCTGGATTTCACGGCATGAGCCAAGCCTGAGAGGCTCTGCAGGCTTAGTGCTGCCCTTTCCCTGTAAATTACACTGTTGAAGGGATTGGATGATTAAGAGATCATAGTGATTTTTATCTGAGTGTATCATTGTATTCAAAGTACACACATCTTTTTCCATGCCGAAACTTCTCCCTTGAGGAGTTATTTGTGCATTAAAAATATCAAGGAGAATCATATTCCCTTAGAAGGGCTATTTTAATGACGATGTGAATGTAAACAGCCGAATCTGGCATACTGGTTCGAAGGATAACACTGCTTGCTGTCTCCTGGCTGCAGGCGGGTGGAGCAGCTGGTGTTATACATGAAAGCAGCGCAGCTGCTGGCGGCCTCACTGCATCTTGCTAAAGCCCAGATCAAGTCCGGGAAACTGAGCCCGTCCACGGCCGTGAAACAAGGTATGGGTGGAGCTCTTGAGCTGCCCTTTGTCCCATTGCACTAGAACGGTTTTGATGAGGAGTTACTGTTATCAAATATTCTTAAATGGGGAAAGATGCCGGTTTTTCATTTTTGCCATTTAATTGATACACAGAGAGCAGTTAGAAACGCTTTATTCTCAATCTTCTGAACAGGAAGAGCATATGAAAGAATCTAATCTCGTCATTTTTTAATGATCGTGTAGTGTCACTTAAAACAGTGGGAAAGGTGCATATCACTGTGACTATTTCTGGAGGAACATTAAAATTAATTCTCTTAACTTATTTTTAGTTGTCAGAAATCTGAATGAACAATATAAATTATGCATCACCATGTGCAAGAAACTTACAGAAAAGCTGAATCGTTTCTTCTCCGACAAGCAGAGATTTATTGATGAAATCAACAGTGTAACTGCAGAGAAGCTCATCTATAACTGTGCCGTGGAAATGGTAACCCTTTTTACGGTTTACTGTTGTGTTAGATTACTTCTCTTGAAGAGGAGCTTTTGAATTGAATGCCTGCTTGACATTATCTAGCCGTTTAAAGAGAGTTTATGCCCTGCCACTCCCAAGTCCCAAATATTGTGATCACTTCCTACTAATCACGGACTTAATGTTAAAGTAATACATTAAGTAACATTGGTTACCACATGTAAAATTCTGTTATAACTCATAAAAATCGCTAACATTAGGCACAGTCTCATCATTTCATAGTTTGCATCTAAAAGCTTGAGCTGGATCTGTTTCTGCATTTTCTACAATATAAGAAATTGCGGCCTGATACACATCAGGGAGAATACTGACTGCTCCGTCAAGCCACAAAGATGCATGTGCTCAGCGTCCTTAAGTACAGACAAAGTAAAATCTCTTCACAGTTGTCTGGTTTTACTTTTTTTTTTTTTGGTACGTGCCCCTAGCGGAAACCGAACCCCGGGACTCTCTGGTCCACAGGCCGCCGCTCAACTGCTGAGCCAAACTGGCCAGGGTGTGGTTATACTTTTAGAAAGAATTGTTTTCTGTCTTAGGAGGGAAAATTGCCCTAAAGTGTAGATGAAATTAGGGACTGTCAAAGAATAGTAGAAAGTGGGGGAAATTTAATTACCGACATTTGTTTACCTTGCATTGTACTGTTGTCTTACACCCTGGGTTTAACTTTGAAAGCTATTATAATAAAAAGTCATATGAAAATAACTTTGGAATACAAACTGTTGACATTAATATATACATTGTATCACTCTATACTGAATTAAAATTTCATAAAATAATTTTCATAGAAGTTGCAGCAGGAAAAGGTCCTCAAAGGAATCAGGTGCTGCCTCCTGACAGGAAGAGCGGCGTGCCTCCAGGCTCCCTGCTGGTGCCTGGCTGCCAGAGGCTCAGGGTGTCACCACTGACATTTAATTACTTATTTCTACTTCCTCTTCCTGGCTCTGATTTTCTATATGTATTTATTTATCGTATTGTAATTGTCTTTAAATTATTTTTTGACAGAGACAGGGTATACAGACAAGTAAATTAGGACACTGGATTACTGACAGGCTAGGCATTTAATGATTAAAGAGAAAATCAGAATGCTGTTGGGAAAACTCAAATACTCATAACCCCATGAATACTGCTACTGTCCCTATTTCTGGAAAGCCCCACCCACCTTTCCCATCACCTACCTGCCTAACTCCTGCTGCTTCTCCATGACTTGGCCTCAGCGTCACTTCATGGAGGCTTCCTCTGAGCTCGTCCTTCCAGAGCGGGTGAGATGCGCTTGTGTGTGTTCCGTACCCTGGGGCTCCTCCCAGAACACGTCTCCCTTGGAACGAGGATGGCATGTTTGCAGGCCTCTCTCTCCCGGACTGAGAGCTCTTCTTCCTTGTGTGCCCAGTGCCTGGCATGTAGTAGGCGCTCACTGAATGCCCTGAGGGAGTGAATGACTACACCAGACATTGGTTTAACTAAAAGAAGAAACTGAGAAATGACTTAATTTTTTGGTTATAACAAAATCTACTTTGATGAAATGCCAGGTTACCCTAGTGTGAAAGTGTATGTTTAAAAAAACTTTAGTGACATCATGGAAGAGCCAGTTTAGAAATATAAATTCTGTAAGTTACGAGTGTCTGAGGACAAGAAGGCTATGTTGAAGGCAGAATAACTCTTTGTCAGGAAGCTCCTTCATATTGCTCACCCAGTGAATCTTCCAAGTTTGGTCGATTGTATCATTTTGTCAGAATATATTAATTTTAGATAGACTCCACTTAAAGCTTCATCGCCCAAATAGATTTGTATTTTCTTGCAAAAGCTGAGAATCTTCTCATTTTTGTTGACTGGCTCCAGGTTCAGTCTGCAGCCCTGGATGAGATGTTTCAACAGACCGAAGATATAGTTTATCGCTATCACAAGGCGGCCCTTCTTTTGGAAGGCCTGGCTAAGATTCTCCAGGACCCTACAGATATTGAAAATGTGCATAAATGTAAGTTGACTTAGAAAGTAGTGTCTTTCACAGGTACAGTAGGAAGAGCTTAGACTTTGGAATCATACTGCCTGGGCTTGAACGCTGGTTTTTCAATCTTGGGCAAATCACTTATCCTTTCTATGGTCTCAGTTTCTTCTAAAAGATAAGGGACTAGCGCCCGCCTTGCAGAGTTGTTGTGAGGCTCAGATAATGCTTGCGAAGTGCTCTGGCTGTTGTCATTGCTCTTTCGATTTCCACATGGCACCACTGCTGGTTGGTGGCACGTGTTTGCGTGTACAGAGGATTTTGGTTTTATTATTAAAAAATAATACATGCAATCATTTTAAACCTCATGGGCTTAGTTACTGAAGAATCCTGTAAAGACCCTATGCACTGCATATTTGGTACAGATAGCAGCATGGAGATTGGTAAGATGTCAGGACGATAGTATGTGTCACTTGTCAAGTATAAGCGCGGTGACCTGGTTTTGAGGCGGGGGTGGTGGGCCCACTGAGTGTGTTTTATCCTCCCACATTTTGAAGAGCTACAAGGGATGGCATTTCTAAAATTATTTGTGATTGTGAGCAAGCTAGCTGTTAAAATCTAAATGTTCTTTATTTAACTTGCTAATCTAAATTTTACCAATCATGTCTAAACAATTACCAGATAGAAAAAAGAAAAAGTATTCAGAATTGTTAACTTTGGGCCAAACAGAACAGAGATAAGGATGTAGGTAGAGAATTAGTGATTCTGTATTAGTTTTTCTTTCGTTGGTTTTTAAAATATAAATGATCTTTATTATGATTGATTTGTTTCTAGATAAATCTAGTATTGAAAGGAGATTGTCAGCACTCTGCTGTGGTGCCTCGGCGACGTGAGCCAGCCCGTCCCAGGGCCGTGGAGGATTCCAGGGGACGCCTTTGGGAGCACAGCCTGTTTTGTGGCCCCGTGCCCAGGAAGCTGGTTTCTTGCCTGGTGACCACCAAGAGCAGCAGTGATTTCAGAACAGCCCCAGAGCTACGTCTCTGTAGGGACTCTGCCTTCCTGGGAAAGCCACCCTTTCCCCTTTTTCATAGACGCAGAAGCGAGACTCTTTCACTTGGCTCTCAGTTTGAACTTGCTAAATAAATGTACCTTAGAACTAGAATTATCAGTACATTTATTCTTAAGGATAATTAAGAATGAAGCAGTGAGTAGCTCTTCGCTCAGTTCACCAGAGCAATGTGTGAAAGTCCAGGTGTTTACTGAGGTGTAAAGGTTAAAAAAAACAATCTCCGCCTGGTCCAGGCAGTTTGACACTTGGGGTAAGTTTGTCTAAATCTGAGCATGACCTTTAAACAGCACAGGAAGAATTAGCTGAAGAAGACATGAAAAATGGGTCTTAGAAGGAATTGTGAAATCTCGATTCTAATATGTACACTTGTTAATCTTACAAAATCTTTCATATATTGCACTAATTTATTAAAACAACCCTGTATTGGATTTTGCAATTTAAAACTAACTGAGGCACAATGGACTTGTTTAGGAAATATTTTACTTGATTATGTATACATACCTTTCCAGAATTCATTTATAATCTCTAGTGGACTTTTCAGGGGTAAGAACTTGTCATGTGAACCTTTGCGTTTTTTAACCTCTTCATCTGTACCCACAGGTTTTCTCAGTGATATTTTTGAGTTGCAGGTTGTTTGCATTTTTTTATTGTGCATGCAGAATGTGCATTGATACCTGTGACTTCTCCCTTTCTTAATGGCTAGATTTATTTGGGCAGTATTAGGAAAAAATGTCAGTCAAGGGTTACCCTCAAGAATTCTCATAGGGCCAAAACAAAATTGGTGATCTAAAGGCTTGTTAATGATGTGGAGTTTCTACATGAAACTAGTGAAAAGTGAGGTTTGTTTTCTCTTAGGAAAATGACAACTCTCTCTAGCCTACTATGTATTTTTCATGCTAATCCTGACAGTTCGTCTAATAGGTAGTTGTGGAGAATGTGGGCGGTTAACATCCCTCCAGAAATGGTTCCTATGTCACATATTATTTGGTTTCTTTTATTTACCTGCTTGAATACTTGAATAAACTATTCTCTGGTTTTAATCCTTTTAGATGATAAATCTGAACTCTGACAAATTGCACAGAAGCTCTTTGGCATTAATCTAATTTTAGTATACTGATAAAAACAAAACATGGCTTTCCTTTCCTTTGACAAAGTAATGTAATTTTACCTTATTTATCTGTATGAAATTCCAGTCATTAATTTGAACATTTATTTATATGATGTTTATATTTTTAGGTCTTTAATACAGTGTTTCTACCTCTCATTTGTAACTGCATGCATTATTCTTGAAACTAGGTAAAATTCACCAAATTGTTGTATAATAAATAGCCTTTTTATTATTGCCTGTACAGATGTAAATTAAGGTAAAATAAACCTGACAACGTCTTTCTAGGGTAAAGCTGGGTCCTTATTGAAGCCAGGTTCTTGCTCAGTGAGCCTGGAGGCTTGGTCATGAATGCCCTTGCCCTGCCCCAGGATGTCAGACTCCTGATGACTGTCAGGTGGCCGGGGGCAGACTGTGCAGTAAGGGTTGCTGCCCCCCGCTGGGGTTCTCAGTGAGCACTGGTATTAGAGATGCTCTGTGTGATTTGGGGTGTGCAGGGCAGGTCTCTCAGTTACCACCATGCTGTTTCAGTTGATCCTCCAAGGGGCTGGGTTTGGTCTGGTCATTTCTCCCCTGTCCACCTTCTTTTTAAACAGGATGAAACAGGGTCACAGTGAGCAAGTTCAGTCTGAAGTCTGGTCACTAGGGAAGGGACTGTGCTGTGCTGTGACTCCCAGGTTCTCTCCTGCCCTGTGTGATGGAGGCTGGTGGTAGGTGGTGTCTGTGGCACTGAAGGCTGAGCAGCAGAGATCAAACTGTAAACTCATGAATAATGATTATGATTATACTTCCATTGTCCAGGCTGATTAAGAGGTTTTGCCTTGATTATAGCAATAACAAATAAATACTTTGTTTCCATGAGTGTTTTTTTAATTTCATACCATTTATTTCATAATGTAGAAATTAACCAGTTCATACATTCATGCGTTGACATATATATTCAAGCCATAACTTGGAAAATTATTGCCCACACAAGTGTAAATCAGTGAATTGGCTGTTCCTCCTCTGAAGGTTTTTGCCTCACACCCTGTGGGGGATGGGTCGGCTCCCACAGTCACGTGCTCCCGTCTCCCTGCCAAGGGAGGGACAGCGTGAGCTTCGTCTCCCTGGAGCCCGAGAGGAGCCAGCACAGGCGGCTGCCGTTCAGGGTGGGTGGCCTCAGTCTCCGCAGGGTGCAGGGCGGGGGGGGCGTTGAGTTGGACATAATGGACAGGAGGTTACTGACACAGATGTCGAAGGAATTCTTGAAGTAGTAGTGATGTGAGCACAGGCCTGGGAGGAGGACTTCCCACTCTTAATGCTTCCTCCTCGGGGTTTCTGTGAGAAGGTGGCAGTTCTTTCTGGAACAAAGCCTGGCTGTGCTTGTTCTTGGGGGATTGCCTGCTGACATACTTCAAAGGGTGTGGCTACTGCTCAGAGAACGTGGTGTGACCCTGTTGTGATGTGTCCTGTCAGCCAGATAACCAGACGCACAGCTGAATTGCAGAGGAGCACTTGATCCACTGGCGGGCTTTGGGGGCGCTCCCCAAAGCACAGCCCTGAGCTTTCTTTGTTCTTTGCTTATATAGCACAAACTACAGAAAAATACATGAAAAAAAACCTACATTCTTCTTGGCTCTGCTTAATTGGTGCTGGGGCTGATACAGACTGCTCCGGATGTGGGGGTCGGGGGGATCTGTTGCCAGGGTCAGGGCAGTCATTAATCTCTTTTTATGGTCCCTCCAAGTTTCCCAAGGCCACCATTAACCCCTTATCTTTATGGTTCCTCTGGGTGTCAGTCCCAGGGTTTTTTAGAAAACTGCTCGGGTGATTCCGAGCTGGGATAACTAATAGCCCAGCTCAACCCTTCCAGTGATAGGTGCATCTTTGAAGGAACTCTGCCCACACTACAGATACCTGGATCTTCAGCCATGACAACTCTTGGGCCAACCCAAGTCACTTCCTGGTTGGTAAAGCTTTGTGAAAAGACATTCTTTGGGAGAGGGGTCAGGGTGGTATTTTCTTCACTTGCATCAGAAAAACATCAGAAGCGATCCACCTAGAAAATAGAAAGGCACTGCACTGCAGGAAACTAAGTCATCGCCTGAAATAGCTGATTTGTGGAACAGGCCAAGCCCAAGCAGTGCGTCAGTGTGAATTCCTGGACTGCACTGTGGTGGAGAAAGGAGCCGATGCAGAGCCCGGGGCGTGCAGCCCACTGTTAGGGGCTACCCAGTGAGTACCAAACATATGTGATCCTGTATGTGGCTTTGTACTCTGTGCAGACAGGACTCATCTGTATGGTTTTATTTTCAGAGGGCTTCAGTCATTTTTAATGTGCAAATATCCAAGGTACTTCCTGAGAGTGGATCTGGGATGTGGAGGCTGATGTGTCCACACCCGGGGCCTCTTATCACCCTTGGCACTGAGGAATGGCAAGCCACACAAATCTGTCAGATGTGCAGTGCTGCTTTGAGCTTTGCCTGGTGCACTGTCTCACCGCTGCTCCAAGCTGAGTGCCCTTCTCCGGGACCCTCCTGCTCTCTGAAAAGTGTTTCCGTCCCTGGGAAAGCCCTCTCAGCACTTGCTTGTCTGTTGTGGCAGAAATTCGGGGGGGCTGGAAGAGACAGACTGCAACGCACTCGAGGATTAGAAAAGGACTGTTTAATGTGCACCAGTGGTGTCTCAGCGGAGTCACCTCCAAAGGCTGGAATGGGCCCTGAGCCCAGGTTCCAGCCACCTTTTATGTGCCAAGCCTCGGGACATTCGGAGGCCTTCTAGTTTCGCTGTAGTGTAGGCGGTTGGCAGATGTAGAATTACCAAAGCCAAGGGCGGGGTTGCTGCATTGCCTAAGGGGCTGCACCTGGCTCGCCTTCTCAGAAGATGGGGGGAGGGGGCTGTGCACTGAGAGATGGAGGATCATCTGTGTCCGGCAGGGGCGGGGGTCCGATCCGCTTTGCTTTCTCATACCGAAAGCTGCCAGCGGCTCTGCATCTGGCACGGCGTCCGCAGCCCCTCTGCGCAGCTGCCCTTGGGCCCCTTCCTAACCTGTCTGCAGTGTCCAGAGCTGGGAAAGGGCACGGCGTTCACAGAACCCTGGTGAGCCGGAAGCGAGTTCGTGAGCGGGAAGGCGTGTGAACAGCCCCAGCCAGGTGAGTCCGCAGGAACGCGGCTGTTGGAGTGCTGGTCCACCCGCTCCTCGCCGCTCTGTTCCGGGAGGGCCGGGGAGCAATTTGTTTTGTGTTCCTTTGAGGTGAGGCCTGGATTTAGGGCTCACTGGAACACATTTGCTGTAGCCAGAAAGGACACAGCTGCTTGCCCTGGCTGGGTAGCTCAGCTGATTGGAGTGTCATCTCCTGCACCCAAAGGTTGTGGGTTCAACTCCTGCTCAGGGCACATACTTAGGTTTCAGGTTTTATCCCGGGTTGGGCACCTACTGGAGGCAATGGATCAATGTTTTTCTCTCTGTCTCTCCCTCTATCTAAAAGCAATAAACACATCCTCGGGTGAGGATTAAAAAAAAAGTTCACAGCTTCTTCTCCAGCTGACCCACCAGGCACTGTGCGTTCAAGGTTTCCTGTTATTTACTCCTCCAGGTCCGTGGGCAGTTTAGCGAAGTGTGTGTACCGATCCAGTCTGTATCTCTCCATTCCGCTCTCATGCTGACCCGCCTCACTTCAAAGATGGAGCAGAGTTGGAGAGTAATTGTCCCAGGAGAAAGGCCACCTGACTAGGGGATGGCAGAAGCCAGCACTGCCAGGAGCTGGACTGCCAGGCTGGCGGGAGCCAGGGCACAGAGCCTCCCCCCGCACGGCATGCCCAGAGGTCCGCACCTGCTCACCCCATGTCCTTCTAACCCCTCCTCTCTGAGGATGTGTAGGAAGAGGGGAAAGAAGGCAGTTTCATGCCATTTGGTACCCAGATGCCTCCTGCTGGAGCTGTCTTCCGCCCTACAGAAGGCAGAAATTTCAAGACCAGGTGAAGTCAGCAGCTTCCTGCAGCCCCCCTGGGACCCAAGCTGGGGCCCAGGAGCAGTGGGTGTCAGCAACCACCCTGAAACTCTCAGTGAAAGGGCTTCTGTGACCTCAAAGAAACGCAAGGGTTTGACCCACTACACAGTTTCCTTGTTCGTTTGTTTTCACATGTGCCAGTGAAACGGAATAACAGGGAACTGGTCCAGTCCCAGGCTTGCCCAGGGGCTCCCGCGGGCACTGGCTGCCTCCTGGACGCTTCTGCTTCTGTCACTGATGTGTGGATGCCTTTCCCGGAAGCTCCTCAGTCTGCCTCTGCCATCCCTGTCCTTGCGCCCTTCCCAGTTCTCGGCGGGTGACGTGGGACCCAGTGCCTTGCCTTGGGGCGGATCCTCCATAAACATTTTAGTTCTCTCTCCTTTCTGTGTTTAAAATAGGAAGTAAATGATATTTTAATCCTTGTGTGTGTGTAAATTGAAACAATTTCCTTTGAGGTCCCAGGTCTCTGGGTCCCTACAGCCACAGTGTCAGCAGAACACCGTACCTCAGTGCCTTCCAGAAGGACTCCCCTTGCCCAACTTGCGTCCCCCGTGGCCCCGCGGGCCTCCTCACTCTACACTGCCCAGATGAGAGCCCGGCCCAGGTCCTTCGGGCAAGTGCCGCCCTGGCCAGCAGAGGGCGCCCACCTCCCAGGAATGGGGCTTAAAACTCAGGCAAGGTGCACGGGCTCACACAGCGCGCCAGGGCTCCCTCAGTGCCCACCTCGCCCGCTCCCCAGAAACCCGGCCCCCTTCCTTTTTTAATCCTCACCCGAGGATATTTTTCCATTTATCTTTAGACAGAGTGTGTGTGTGGGGGGAGGGGAAATTGAGAGAGAGAAACATCGGCTGGTTGCCTCCCGTGCGACCTGGGCCAGGGCCGGGAATGAACCGCAACTGAGGTAGGTGACCTTGGGCAGAATCGAACCCGGGTCTCCTTGGTTTGCGGATGACGCTCTAACCGCCGAGCCTAACCGGCCAGGGCCCAGCTCCCTCCTTAGGGGGAGCGGAGAGGTGAGTCCTCAGTGACCCCTTCCCCCACGGAAACTGCCCCGAAGCCTCGCTCCGGGGGCTGGTCGACCAGCCTCTCCCCGGGAGGGCGTGGAGAGGGGCCTAGCCCCGCGGAGGTCCGTCCGGGGGATGTCCGTCAGCTCCTTCTGACTTCTGCCGCGAGGGGGCCTTCGTCCCAGCCGGGGCAGCGGGTGCTCCGGTGTCGAGGAACCCGGGACCGAGGGAAAGGCAGGGCCTCCTGCCAACCAGGCACAGACTGAAAATCCGAAGTTGCTCCACATGGGTTTAGGGGCGAAGGCCTAGCATTTAGGGACGTGGGGCTGTGTGCGGCGAGGTCCGGGAAGGCGTTCCCTCCCCTGTGAGAGGCCCCTAGGCCGAGGCTGGGGGCACATCCCGGGACCGGGACGTCCGCTCTCCCCCGCGCCCGCGCTGTGACCCCGCCGCCTGAGGCGCGAGGACCCTGCCGCGGGGCAGTCTGTCCGGCAGTTAGGATTTCCGCAGCGCAGTAGTGTCTGCAATGACCTGGCTTCTGTCTCTACTTCTTTATCATCTGCTCTCGCCAAGAATCCTTCCGTCTTGTCCACTGTGCCCCTGGCGCCTGGAACAGTGCCTGCAAATGGTTGCTTGCTTTGTGCCGGTCTCATCCTATGAACGGCCAATGCTGGGGTTGGACCCCCCTTCTTAAATTTTTACTATGATTGTGAAATGCTCTTCGGCAGTAATCATCTGGAGACTTTGAAAGGTAGTTTATTATTTACAGGACCTGGAATTCCATGGCACAGCGGCCACAAGGTGGTGGCGGCGGTGGTGGGCGCACGGTGTGAGCACCAAGCCGGGGTTCTGGACTTACGGGGGAGGGGGGGGCTTGGGGG